ATTATTACCCGAAGACAGATCAATTAATTTTGTATTGCAGTTTAAGGCCACTTTAGTGGCTTTTTACAATTTGTCAACAAATTGTTAATGCAAAATTGATTGAGGATAGCAATCCTGGAAAATAACCTTAATGAAAAATAGCTCAAGAGCAGTCTCCGGGTTGCGAAAGGTCGTGGGTTCGAAATCTGGGGCTGGTGCATTTTTAAGCAATTTTTTATTTAAAAAGTTGTTATGTAAAATTGTAAACTGAGTGACAATATTGTTTCTTGCAGAGGTATTATTTCGTATTACAGTTCGGAAATTTCATACTTCCACATACTTTAGTATAAATTGTTACAAAACTCTTATACGTTGTTTTTACGAGCTCACAGTCTAAACACTTCCTAGAGACACAACTTTATTCTGTTCCGTTTGTTTATCTTGTTTAGAATGTTTATGGAATTACTAAGATTCACTGCTTTTCAAAGGGAAGAAAATTGATATTACTTTTATCCAAAGTCGTCAGCTCCAACTTAGTTGATTATAAGTCACGACTTTGTTGTTTGTGTGAATAGCTAGATATAAATAACTTTGCTTTAAAATGCTTCGTCCGGTTTTAAATATTTACTTATTGAAATAGGAGTACATTATAATAAAGATTTAGTTTCATAAATACAATGACGGTCAACAAATTTTAATTTAATTTTAATGATGTTAAAAGCATGACCAATAATCTCGCCTAAATAAAACAGAAAACCTTTTGGTACCGTCTTTGAAGGAAAATATTAAGATTTTTATCCATTTTGGAACCGGTTTTAATTCTATGAAAAAGAAACAATATTTTTTTAAATACTGTAAATATATGAAACTTTCACTTTGATTTTATAAAAGGTATTTCGAGATTAACAAAAGCAAAATACCGTTTGAGTAGCTGCCATGGTAGATCTCGTGTAGAAAACGGAAGGTAATATGCGTTGAATGGGGCTTGACACGCGGCCTTTTGGATAGCGCGATGGAATGTAGAGCGTTCCAGTGAAAATGTTCCTTAACACAGGCTACTTTGAAACGTAATATTGCCGTAAAAGTATCGTTCGTTTTAAGCGAAGGTTGTTTTAATTTTTATTACACCATTATTTTTAGTACTTAATATATATATATACATAAAAGTTGAGGTACTATTATTAAAAGAGAATCTTTTAGTTCACAAAAAAAAATGTTATTCTATATAGATCGATAAAAAGTTATAATTTATTTATTTATTTATTTATTTATTTATTTATTCATTCAACAAAGTTTCAACAGCAGTTTTGTTATTTCTATACAAAAATAAGTATGCAGCATTGACGCCAATTATAGAAACTTATTATGTTTACAAATCTTATTAATTATATAATCATAATGAGGGCAGTTAACAAAGAAAATGCAAGTATTAGACAAAAATATACATATTTATAAATTATATCGCACGACAAATATGGTGTATGTATGTATGTGTGTGTGTGTGTGTGTATGTGTTTATATGTTTAAAATAAGGTGTGCGTATCTAGAACTTCAATTCATAATTACGTAATTAACTCTAAAGACGGGGCCAAGTTGAACGCACGGCGACCGCGCGTCGAGTGGGTAAGGCAGGCAAAGATACCTACGATACAGAGGCACATTCTACTGTCGGGCTTACATGGCGCGAGTAACAACAACTCAAACAGGCAATGGCTCGTTAAGAACCATTAATAAAATCAACTCGATTACGTATAAATAATAATAATAATATTATAACAACAATAACAATTACAAAATAAACAATAATAGAACCAACTAATCATCTCAATTCATGACGATCCGCACTGACAGATCTGACCAAAGCGGCCCTAAATGCATTTCTGGACATAGAGAAAAGGTCAATTCCGGAAAAGCATTTATTGTAAGTTCTAGGTAATCTGACTGTCACGTCATTGGCCTCATAGTTTGTTCTTACAAGGGGTATATGACATAGTTCCGTGTGTCGCGACCGCTTCGTTGGTGCATTCAAAGACACCATTCTGTTAACTAACCCGATGCAATCTAATTGTCCCGAATAGATATCGTAAAGAGTGAGCATATCTCTTATACGACGCCTGTCCCTAAGACTAACGAGACTGTGTTTACTACAGGACTCCTCGTAACCACTTGAGATATAGTTGAGTCTGAAATTCAAGTATTTTACGAACTTCATTTGTAGTTTTTCAAGAGCGTGTTCGTGCGTGACATATTTTGGATTCCAGACAACACTACAATATTCAAGGATAGACTGTACATACGCATAATACAATACTTTCATACAAGTGGCGTCTTTAAACTCCTTAGTTACTCTAAAAATAAATCCGAGATTTTTGTATGCCCTGTTAATTATGTTTTCGAAGTGATTGGCAAATGTTAACTTTGAATCCAAAATCACTCCTAGATCCCTTACCGTAATAACCCTTTTCAGCGGTTCATTATTTAATTTATAATCATACTCTATCGGTTGTTTACGTCTTGTGAATTTGATATGCATGCATTTCCCAGTGTTAACTGTGATCTTGTTGTTAATGTAATATTGTGTAAGGCGATCAAGGTCCTCTTGTAGTTTTAAACAGTCCTCATGTGTACTTGTTTCCATATAAATTTTAGTGTCATCTGCATAGAGTAAAATCTTAGCATGCCTGAGACAGGCGGTTATATCACTAATGTATGCTATGTAGAATAAAGGACCGAGCAATGAGCCTTGTGGCACACCGGAGGGTATACGTATGTAATCCGAGCGAACTCCTCCAATCACCACAGCCTGTTTGCGGTTCGATATATAAGACTTTATCCACCGATACAGATCACCGCGTATTCCTAAGTAATAAAGCTTTTGCAAAAGTATGACATGATCCACGCGGTCGAAAGCTTTTTCGAAGTCCGTGTATACCACGTCAACCTGCGACTGGCAACCCATACCGCGGCGTAAGTCGCTAACGAATAAACTTAAGTTTGAAGCTGTTGATCTTCCTTTTATGAAGCCGTGCTGTTCACAGGGTATACCTTGCTTTAAAATGGGGTATATTCTGTTGTATACGATTCTTTCTAGACATTTTCCGAATACGTTTAAAATAGAAATAGGGCGATAATTCTCAATTCTACATTTGGAGTCTTTTTTGTGTATTGGAACTATATGTGCCTCTTTCCATTTTGTCGGATAAACTCCCTCGACAATACAACGATTAAAAATTATATGTAATGGAAAAGAGAGTGCCGCGGCACACTTAATTATAAAGGATGGTGGAATTTCATCACTACCGGCGCCCTTTTTTGCGTCTAAGGCAGAGAATTGCCTTTGAACCTCAGCTTGGGATACTGAGAAGGAATGAATCAACTCATTCGACCTGTGCGAAAGATTATCCCCATCGGAATAACCTCCTGTGGCTGAGTGAACAAACATACGCTCAAAGTAACTATTGAATGCCGAACAAATGGTTTTAGTATCAGAAAATTGCATATTGTCATAGTTCATTGTACTAGGATAACCCGTTTTGTGCTTACGCTTGGAATTTACGTACGACCAGAGTAGTTTAGGGTTGGATTTCATGTTTTCTTGACAAAGCGTTAAATAATTTTGATAACAACTATTTTGAATAACTTTAACTCTCTTTCTTAACAAGGAAAATTCATCGTAATCAAGTGGATTATTGAATCGTTTCCAGCGACGATGCGCCTTTTGTTTTTCCCTCAACAGATGAGTCAGTGCACGGCTGTACCATGCCGGATATTTATTAGAAAGGCTGGTATCGACACAAGGAACGTGCGCATTGATGACCTGATGCAGAACTGAGTATAGGGCATTGACGGAATCGTCAACAGTGCCTGATGACAACATATCCTCCCATTCAGCATTATGTAACTCCATATTAATAGTGTCGTAGTCGGCTTTTTTATATAATTTTCTTTTCCTGTTGCACCTAGATAAGTTGCTCACCAAGATATCGCTTGCATCGATATTTAGAGTGGTGTGTTGTGAGTCTTCTTTTACCAGAGCAGAGGTTGATATGCGAATATTCACACTAAAATTAGTAAAGAAAAGGTCAATTGTGTTACCCGCGCTGTTAGTGAAAAAATTACTCTGATGAAGGCCCAGAAAATTTGTCTTGTTTACTAAGGATATTCCTGCGTTTTGTAACTCGACGCAGCCTTTTCGCAGATACGTCGGACCAGACTCTTTCCACACTATATTAGGTAAGTTAAAATCTCCCGCCAATATAAACAAATCATGATCATTATTAAAAGTATTAGCAACATTGGTAATTAATTGTACAAAATTATTAATATGAGACGGTAAGGCACGTCCTGGCGCCATGTAAGCCAACGCTATATGCAAATCTTGTTCTAAGCCTATTGTGCGGCCGTCTACGGTAACCCACACACACTCGACTTGATCGCAATGCCACTCGACGCGTGCGCGCGCGCTCAGTCGTCGGTTGCACATGATCATGACACCGCCTCCGTTCGATCCCCTATCACGGCGGAATATCTCATACCGACTATCACCTAATTCGGAATCTAAAACGCTGTCGTTTAGCCACGTCTCTGTTATTAAAATTATGTCATGGTCCGAGAGAAGCAGGTTATTATAAAATTCTAGTGTTTTAGTTCGGAGACCACGAACATTTTGATAGAATATGTTTAATGTGTGACCGAAAATTCCAAATCAGTATCTAAATATATAAACAAAAATGATAGTTTAAAGTATAGATAATATTTAATATTGTTGGTGAATGGCTTATGAACGATGGTACCGAAAAGTGAATAGTAGATTTTGATAGGTGCTAAAGAATTGAGTAATAGTTTTTTATGTTTATACTTTCTGTTAGTGGATAGTGTTATTAGTTGTATATATGTATTGTTAGTGTTAAGTAAGTATGAAGTGTTATCGTGCGATGAAATTGCGATAAGGTAATGAGTGAATTCAATTAAAATATAAAAACAAGCAATAGATAGTACTAACAATGGCTGGTATATATGCACTATATAATCTTCTTCAGGTCGTCCTCGCAAGATATTAGCAAATACGGTGAATTTTCGGCTTTCCTTGTATATATACGGCAGTTTTTTGTCCAAACGAATTTGTAGTTGTTAGTTTTAGCTTTTTTTTTACAGCTTGACAACAGTTGCTTGTTATGTATTGTTAAGTGTTCGTTAATGTAAATATTTTTAAGTTCACCTTGCATTCCAATATCCCTGGACGTGATTCCTCCACATTTGCGAGCAGCTGACAATATTGCGTCCCTTTTATTTCGGTTTTGAAAGCGAATCACTAAGCTTCGTGGTTGTCCTTTGACCTGCCTCTTTGCTTGTATACGATGAATGAAATCCAATTCATGAGGATCAAGGGGCACATTAAGATGTTTGACTATATTATTCAAGACATCTGGTAAGGACTCCTCTTTAGCCTCTGGGACGCCCACTATCTCGATATTTTGAAGTCTTGACCATTGTTCCTGTCTTAATGATGCCTCTTCCATGTTATTTAACTTGGTTTGAAGCGTTTTAATCTGATCATTAAGGTTTTTATTTTCAGTCTGTAATTTTTTGACAGAAGATGTGCTTTTTTCAACCGTAGATTTAATACCGTCATATAAGTCGCTTACTGTTCTGACGGTTTTTTCTAGCTCTAAGAATTTACTTTCCAATGCTTTTGACACCGATTCCGTAACTTTAGCGAGGAAGTTAGGTAACTCACGGCGAAATACTTGTTCCAGTTCTGATCTTATTGTTGCTAGAATGTCGTATGGCTTTTCCTCGTCAACAGAGCCACTCCCGCTGACCGCCGGTGGGTTACGCGAACGGCTTTTGGTGTTCACAAACTCTTCTTCGCTACATGTGGTCTTCACTGGTGTATCAGAATTATCTCCTCGGCGTGTCTGTTTTATCTTACATGCTGGACATACCCAAGTTGATGATGGATTCCCTTGCTTATTGGGAACACAAGCAAGGTGATATTGAAGCTTGCATGCGGGTCTTGAACACGATAATACGCTTTCCTTTTGCTTTATGTCACTATCACAGGAGTTGCACTTCACCATGGTGAGATAATGTATGAAAAGTTTCACGAGAAAACTCAAAATAGCAGTAAATTCTATTACGTATACTTCAAACCGTGATTGTTCTAATAAGAGACAACGTTTCTTGATCCTTAATAGAAGAAAACTTAATTTTTAATGAAATAAATGTAAGAGCTATTGTTTCTGTGTCGACTACCCGACAATTAAGATAATAACTTATTAAAAACTATTTAGTTTACTTATTTGAATTTGGACTGAAATTGATATGCTGAATTTTCGATATATTCGATTTTATTGAGTCGGTTTTGTTTTTTGAAAGATAAGCTCGATTTTAGTATTTTCAGTGACAACTGTTTTGTGCTGTTAGATAGTTAAAGTGTCATTTTATATTAAATCTTGGCAGTAAAATAGGCTCAAATAGACGGTTTATCTTATTCGATAATGTCGTTAATATTTTAATGAGGTTTTTAATTCATATACAGTGATGCAAGTGAACAATAAAGCATGTAAAATCGGAATTTGCACACACACACACACACACACACACACACACACACACACACACACACACACACACATACACGCACGCACGCACGCACACACACACACACACACACACACACACACACACACGCACTTGTAAAAACATCCTCATTGATTTAGATGTAAAACACTTAAAAAGTTTTTAGTTTAAAGTTATTGTTATTTTAAATGTCTTATTGTCGGTGGATACATCTCTTGGAGTGTAACTCTGTTATGGTGTGGAATCGACACATAGTATTTTATTTGTGAAAGCAAATAAATAAATAATAAAAAATAAACACAAGAGGAAGATGTTCTCGTATTAAACGGGACTACGTGGGCGAAGCAAAGCTATAAAAAATAGTAGGTATTACACATTATTTGTGATATTAGGGGTATGTTCCGATATACACTGCGAGCACTGCGCAGTGGTCTTACTGCTGAAAAATCCGTTCCGTTATGGACTGCCAGTACACTGCTACAGTACCCTAGGGAAGTTCATGACGTCATAAATTGCCGCCATATTTGTACTGTGAGCACTGGAGATTTCGAGGTAAGGTGTTCGCAGTGCTTTTGATCACGTGATCAGTCGAAACAGAATCAGAAAATGAGAAGTTTCTAAATAAACAAAAAAAAAAATACTTACGTTTATTATAAGATGGATAAATATTTTTTTTATACAATTTTCCAATTTTATAATATTTTCTTTTGAAAAGAGGGAATCTTTATATTTATATTCACCTTGCATTAACAAATTTGAAAATGGCGCCAAAAAATTGGATTAACAGTATACTGGACTGCGTTCCGTTTTAAAAAGTCACCAGTATAACTAGCTATAAAGGAACGGGCTTCCAGTATACTAAATTGACGTCATACTGCGCAGTGTATATCGGAACATACCCTAGATACACAAGGTACACAAATATAGGTACTATAAGTTTAAATATTGAATATTTATCATGTCTTTAAATGTTTAAGTCAGTCAATAAGCGAATGTTTCGAGGTATAAATTTATATTTCAAAATATAAATCAAAATTGTTCAAGAGTTTCGTAATAGTGTAATGAAGTACTGAGAGTACACATCACTCATATGCAGTGGTGTAAATCATACTTCTAGCGATTGTCGGTTATAACTAAACAAAGGCTTTAGTTTTTCTCTTAACTTAAGTGAAAAAAAAAATAAGGAAATAATTAAATTCCGGAGGTCAATCTCCTCTGTGCTTCGGAAGGCACGTTTAGCCTTTGCTCTCGGCTTCATGTGTATTCGTTAACACCAGTGGCGTAAATACAGAGTGGCAAGACGGCAAAATGCCACGGGCCCCCAGTTAAAAGAGGCCCCTCGTCAGAGGAGACTCCTTACTCCTGACATTTATTATTACACAATTAGAAAAAAAAAATTGAACATCCGATCAATTTGTCTTGTTACGCCATTGGTTACCACCCATCGATCCGCGTGATAAGGTATGACCTATTCACCTTATTTGATTTGATTAGATTGTTTCAACATGTCCCATCAGCGGGGCATTAATGGGCTGGTGATGAGTAGGTACTGCCACATATTGAGTCATCAACCTTTACATAATCCGTTCACAGTTACGTAACGAGCTCTTGTACTATAAACACTGTTACTACACGGGTGAACCCTTCTCAACCACATCCATACAGGATGTTTTATTAAAATATTATATCACGAACGTAGAATGTTCACATAGGCTAATATATTTTATTTTTCTCTTTATTGAGAATAGCTTACAACCACACATTTCTCATTAACAATGATACGTGATACGTTAAATATGACATAAATTAAACATGTAGTCAAATACTCTATCCACAACTTACTAATAGTTGACATTAATTTAAAAATATAGTGTGATGCTGAGCAACAACCAATGATCACTCTCCGGCGCATAATGAGGAAGCATTGGAAAAAAAGAAGGAAAAGAAACTTGAATGACTAGTCAATAGATAGCAGCGCTATAGGGTATACTTCCAGTAATCGTAGTTATTGTTAGTTAGGAAGTTAAACACTAAAATTAAAAGAGCACATATTTTTAAAGTCCGTCAATATCTATCTAAATCTCGAAATTTGCTCCCAAACACCTCCTCACCAAAATGTTATAGTGTAGGTCAAAATGTTATATACCTCATATTTATGACTCGTATGGGGTAGACATAGGTGTTTCGCAGACTGAGCAGCTCCAGGGAAACTATCAACTTTCAATAGGACATATTAGTAATATATCTGTCAATAGTATTAAAAGGCAAAATCACCAATAATTCTTCATCTTATTCTCATTTAGACATTTATATTATTTATGAACGGCTCTCGTATATTATTACTACCTTTTGTAGTACACTTAAAAATAACATCAACGACATCATGCTCTGTCCCACTCTATTGTATTAAAAATACGTAATGCAAACCTGTGTACTTATAATTTTCTAATAGATGTTTTCTATACTTTTATTTTTCTTATATCTAAATTAATATTCGGTATGTACACAAAAAAGTATATTATTCTACAGCTGTTGTAAAATTTTGCAGATAAAATAATAACTCTTTTTCTCAATATAAAGTCTTCGATACAGCAATTTCGATGTTAAATCTAGATAATTAGTTGTTTTTATTTTTTTTCTTGGTTGTTTTATAATTGGGCTCATGTAGTTGGAAATAACATTTGCCCTTTCAGTATAGCAACCTTATATATTCTGGATAAAATTTAAATCTGGATAAGGCAAAAGATCTATAAAATAATATGCGTGAAATCATTAATAAGATCAAAATAAAACAGACAAGTGCGAGTCGAATCCCTTTATCTGTAATTTTGTCGTTATATAGCAGCGGATTTGAACCTGGAAGAATCCCAAGTGGTCCGTGAAGCAGAGTTTTGTTATCATGATTTATTTATGTGGTCCATGGCAACATTGTAATTTGTCAAATGGTCCCTAATAACAGAAAGGCTGTCAACCACTGTTATAGAAGTTTTAGATAAATAATTCGTGAATCTACATATATATTACCATAGTATCTGTAGGTATCTCTTTTTGGTTATTACGAGGGTGGATTGAAAAGTTCGCAGCCTAACACATTAATACTTAAACTATTTTAATGTAATTGACCTCATTCGATTAGTTTACTCTCTAGTTGTCAAATAGTAAACTTCTATCGCAATAGCATTAACTGTATTTAAATTAGACTGAATTTAATGAGCCTTTGTGTATCATTATTAAAGAATGGAGAAAATTGAGCAACGTGCGGTCATCAAATACCTGTTTAAAAAAAACTAACTCCAAAAGAGAGTGAAAAAAGAGTGAGAGTATTGAAGATGACACTCGCTCTGGCCGGCCTATGACGTCTACGACTGAAGAAAACATCGGGAAAATCTGTGATCTGATATTCACAGATCGGAGATTGACCATCAGGGAGTTGCAGACACTATTGGCATCTCGTATGAACGAACACAAAACATCATAGTCAATGAACTTGGATTTTCTAAGATTTCTGCGCGGTGGGTACCCAGATTGCTTTCAGTCGAACCAAAGCGACTGTTTGGAAATGCTTGAGACTGACCCACAAGATTTTTTATCCAGATTTGTAACAATGGATGAAACTTGGGTATACCACTACACCCCAGAGTCAAAACAGTAATCCTAGCAGTGGAAAAAACGTGATGAACCGTCTCCAAAAAACGCCAAAACAATTTTGTCAGCAATTGTCTCATCATGGTGGACTATCTTGCAAAAGATGAAACTATAAACTCGGCTTATTACTGCACCCTCTTACGTCGCTTGCGCGAAACAATCAAAGAGAAATGGCCAGGATTACTCAGAAAGAAAGTGTTGTTCCATCAGGATAATGCACGCGATCACACGTCTGTTGAATCTATGGCTCAAATTCGTGATTATGGCTTTGAATTATTGCCCCATCCTGCCTATTCCCCTGATTTGACACCTTCAGACTTTCATTTATTCGCAAACCTAAAAAAAACACCTTGGTGGTAAAAAATTTCATCAAATGAGGAGGTCGAAGCTGCGGTGAGTGACTTTTTAGAGGCCTTGAAGAATCTTTTTTTATGACCCGCATACAGGCGTTGGAAACCAGATGGAAGAAGTGCATAGAGTTAAGTGGAGATTACGTGGAAAAATAAAATTACTTTTGCTTATATTTTATATTGTTTTCTTGCTGAGGCCGCGAACTTTTTAATCCACCTAGTATTATCCTTCACTGGAAAAAATAACAGCCTTGTTCGAATGCAGCGCTGTCATAGCATGGATCTTAAATAAATAAATAAATATGTTAGTTTGTTCGTATGTTCTGTTTTTTTTTGCATTTTTCGGAGTTTATTGCAGTATATAAAAATGATATGAGATTAATGCACGTAGTGCGTGGGAATAAAACAGTCATGGAAATAATTGAAAAACAGGACTGCCAAAATCAAACTAAAATCTGATTACTTATAATCACCGTCTCAATGTCCTGAATTTTGTTTTCCAAAAGGTGGCAACCCTGAGCATATCTGATCCAACATTTTAATTTACGTATTTTTATTGATTAAATAATCAGCATTAAAATCCAATCTCACAATATATACATTAAACAACGAAATGGCAAGCAACTTCGCCATTCAATGTTGTTTCATTGCTTTTACAACATTGAAGATAGCTAAATAAATAATTATAGGTGACCATTACCGTGTAAAGTTCGTAATTATTTGGCAAGTTCTGTCTCTAATATATAAGGGTCGTAAATAGCCGCGTGCCGTAACAGCTTTAGTGGCCTATTATACAATACAATTCCAGCTGGTTCGCTTTGCAAACGCTTTGAGTTGTTCTGATGTAACATTTTCACGGAAACATAATTAAAAGCGTCCTGGCGGGATATTGTTGTTGCACAACGTGTTTCATAGAATATATATAGTCGTTCTAATTTATTTATAAATAATCGGTTTTAATGAATTTTTACAAGTCCTTATTAAGAGTTTAATGGTTACCCTGAAATGCGTCTGGCTTGATAATTAATGGGTGACCTGATAAAAGCATTTTTGATCAGCGGTGATATTGCATATTAATATTATCAAGAGCAAAGATTTAATTTTTTTTGCAGCGAATAGGCTCGGAAACTAAAGGAATGATTATAAATATTCTTTTAAATAGGCTATAATTCAGTCACGGGAAAGGGAAACAGCTAGTTCTGTAATAAAATCAGGCCTCAAACTAGACAAATGATTATTATTAGACGTAATTCTATCTATTTGTAAAATTGAATGTTTTATAATGTAAGAGTATTCCTACAATCGTCAGACCTGTATTATAAAAGTTAACAACAAAATCTTAATGGAAT